ACATGGGCAACACCACTCAGAGAGATGAGATATTTAACTGGGCATCTCGTTGCTAGGATACATCGACGCCTCCTTGATCAGCGAAACCACGTCGACTACACAAAGAGCAGGGATGCAACTTAATTGCAAAACATCAAATTAGGATAAAATTCAGGGGGGGGGGGGCCCCCCCCCCCCCCCCCCCCCCCCCTCCATATTTTTGTTAGGTCAGGGGGGCAAGCCCCCCTGAAACCCCCCTACTCTTGACTTTAACGAACGAAACTACAAAATCACCGATAGGCCTACTGTATATTAGCACACCTGGGATGAGAATAGTGAGACATATATATTGGGCCATAGGCCATAGGCTATAACCACAAAATTACAGTAGTTTGCGCATTTTAAGGCCCAGTTCAAAGTTTTGAAGATCTGAGTCGGGGATTAGTAGACTTTGGGAATTTAACGTGCTAAAGTAGACTCTACAATAAGACAAATAAGTAATAAGATCACCAGATCACCACCATTTCCTCCTAAAATAAAATCAATCACATTCGATTCGTGTTGTGTTGGCGTTGAGCATGAAGACAAATCAAATGCATCCATTTTTAATGGCCATCGTACGGATCTTTTGTATTCATTACACTCAGTATGTTCGAACTCTCTCAAAATAGGTTCAGCCACATTTCAAATCATAGAAGACGAAAATAAGTAAACATTATTTACCTTAACAACACAGCGACTTCCTTCCAGCAAGCGCCATTAAAACTAAAAATAAAATAAGGAGGAATTAGTCCTATCTCTGTAGCAGAAGAGCGCCTTACATTTATCAGAGGAATGTATTCGGTTTTTAAAAGAAGTTTTTTTTTTTGTCTGAGAAAGTTTATGATTTAAGAAATTCTTTCCTTTTTTGCTTTAAAAATAAAAAATCCTTTCGTACAACCAGAATACAGTAATTCATACTATTACTATATTATCCTTTCGACGGACACAATCATATTTATTGAGAGAGAGAGAGAGAAAGAGAGAGAGAAAGAGAGAGAGAGAGAGAGAGAGAGAGAGA